GCAAATCATTTTAATTTCTCCACTTGTTCAAAATGTGATTTATGTGACTGAATAAGGATTTTAAATTATGGGTTTATAACTTCCAAATTACTAAGCGAGTGTCTGTTTTGCAAAGTATGGAAACATTGTCTAAACTAGCATAGCAAGGCTAGACAAGAGGCGTTTAGAAATGGTATGTAGTATGTATAAATGTTAATGACATAGTTTTCATCAATTTCATCCAAACAATGTACTGTAATCTGTATTGGAACTGAGAGGAGATAACAGTTTTGTTCTTCTTAAAAATAGTGCACCTGTTAAGTTATATATTTATTTAGTATTTGTTTCCTTTATAGTTTCCTAACAAATTGTGGCTCAGGTAGCTTGTGAATGTTCTTCAGTTGTGGTTTCTAGAAAGCTTCAAGATGTTGAAACAGCTCTGCACGGAAAATGGAGAATAGTCTTTTATAATGCTGAAACGGTATTTCCTTTTTAGTTTATTTGATATCTAATTAATTGTGGACCCTCAAATAATGATTACAGAGCCAACTATTAAATTGCCACGTGAGTTCCATTTTAAGATGAAGTTGGCTGGCTCTTCTGAGCTACCATTCTAGGCATTTTGTAAAGAAGTCAGCAGTGTTCCAGGGTGGAGGCTGATACTTGGGGAGTTTGAAAGGCAGACACAACTACAACAAAGAGACCTTTTGTAGACTGAGCTTCATTCATCGAGTATAATTTGGATGGTGCCAACAAGGAGTAGGCAGCTGGTTATGATGCCCTCTGTGCAGGGCAGAGGGGACAGCTGTTGTATAAAGCAGGAGTCACTCCCAGACTAAAGCCCTGGACCATGCTTTCTGCCATAGCACAATTACCCAGCTGTAATGAGATTACTTCTGTAATAACCTCTGTGGGGTAATTGGCAGGAGAGAGGGGCAGGGGAACAGGAAGAATCACCTCAACCATAGCATCCCAGAGGTTAGTTACATCCACGGGTGCTTTTCTCAGACCTGAGCAGATACTGTCACTGAGGTGCCTATAGTAAAGCATGTCCAAACGTCATGTTTTATAGCTACATGTTTTAAAACAAGCCCTATTCTTTGCACATATGTGGAAATTTGATTTGTCCCTGTAAGGGATATAGGAAGAGAGAAGTGTTGATTTGTTTCCTCTCAGCACTAGACAAATTTCACTGGCGAGATCACTTTGTTCTCTCAGAAACACATCAAAAGTCACAAGTGATTTTTGCCCTTAAGTGACCTAGAATGAAACAGAGCTTCGGACTTAGGAATATAAAGTGCTGCAAAATGTAAAGTTAGGTTTTAGGGTGACCTATAATTTTATCATCTAAACTGGAAAACCTTTGCGAATGAACAGGCGCTATTACATCAGGACAGCAGGTAGAGACCTGGGTAATTTATAAGATTAAATGAGAACAGTTTTGAAAGTATTTTTTCACTTCACTGTGAGAAATATTGTGGACTGACTGTGGAAGTTACATGACTACAGAGAGAAATACTTCTTTCCTTGGAGCTTCCAATTCCCACACCAGTAGACTGGAGTGGAAACTGGGCGTGGCCCCATTGCCTTCTAATTTTCAAGATCTCACACACAAATGGCCTACATCTTTTTATCACTTTCCTCTAGTGAGTTGGTAGCAAGTGGAGTTGCTACAAGGCCACCTGGGGACTCTTAAGGCTTCTAACTGCTATTGTGGTCTGTTTGATTGGAGATTTCTTTTATGCAGATCCTTGTGGCCACAATTGCTTTTCTTTTACCAAGTGCAGAGTACTCTTCAGTGGAAATAGATAAGAAGGTAGGTGGCATATCAGCTAACTTTACCCTAGAGTTTACTTTTAAATGTAAGATAGAATGTTAAATAATATTACAAATAATAATACCTTTAATAATATCCTTATGCATTGGCCTTTACATTCTTTGCTGTAAAAACACTATTTTTTATTTACTTATTTACCTAGCATTTGTATATTCCTTGAATAATTAGTGTAAGAAGGAACAGTTCTCATGGTTATTATTGCATATAGTGAGTTTTTAAGTACTGTAGTATTAAGTATTAGGCATGTTTCTTCTTCCAGTTTATTGTGTCCTTGCTCCTCTGCCTCTTGGAATGGTGCATGGCACTACCGGTAAATGCCCTTCTCCACCCTGTGTCCACTGTGGTTCTGGAGGAACAGCACCCATCCAGGGCCCCCTTGCTGGATTATATTTACAGGGTGAGTCTTCACCTAGGCCTCAGGGCCTACCTTTCTGAAAACTACCACAATGTGTTTTGTGCATTGACTTATTTATCTATGCCCTTTGAAAAGGACTTGTGGTGGGCTGAACATTTAAAAAGAAACGAACAACTTAATGAGTAAAAGCAGAACAGATATTGCTGTAAAGAACTATTGGTTACCAAAGTGAAGATGTATACATTTTTACATGCCTCAATTTTCATGGAACGAGATCTGTTTCTGCTTAATTTAAAAATGAACTGTTTGTTCCTATAGGAATAGCCACAGAATTAGACAAAATGTGTTTTACCAAAGGAATAAAAAAGTATGTATAGTGGTTCCAGTAATTTCTTTGCCTTAAAAAACCCTCAAGAAATAAATGAAGGAATCTAAGAATATCTATAAGTCTATATTAAATTTATTTTGTTAAATCGTACTTTTAAATTGTACTAAATTAACCCTTACAATTCATGGGGTGCCAAGTTATACTAATTTAAACTCAGAAACTGTCATGAAGCTTGCCAGTGGTCTCTGGTTATTTCATTTACTGTGCTCCCCCCCACCATGAGGGGCTTATTACACAGTTTTCCTTCATCTCATCATTTACTTCTTTCCACTGTGTTGCCTTTGATGGATGGAAGAGGACTGAGGTATGGGCAACCACACAGGCTGAGAAAATGGGCACTTTTTCACTTTTGCTTTTCTTTTGCCTTGAGAATATATTTATTGTCATTTATATAAAAGGAGCAAAGTAAACTTGCTAATAGCAAGAAAATATTTAAGAATGGAAAAGACCGAATATTTTACATGTCCTCAAATAGCAGTCCTAGCTCCTAAGCACTATGGTAGTTGAATAGTTTTCAGGGGACAGGAAATAGTGTCATCCAGGGTGCCTTTTCCATCTGTTTTCCACAGGTTCTGCACTGCTGTGTTTGTGGCTCAAGCACATACACCCAACAGAGTCACTACACACTAACACTGGCTGACTTGTCATCCACGGATTACGACCCCTTCCTGCCACTGGCAAATGTCAAGAGCTCTGAGCCAGTCCAGTATCATTTATCAGCAGAATTGGGGAACCTGCTGACTGTGGAAGACGGTGAGTATTATTCCAAATATGAAATATTGTGGGCAGGCAAAATAAAGATTGTAGCTTTTTGTCTATGTTTGCTATGTTCTTTTAAAAAATTTTCTTTGTAAAAAATCTAGTTGTTGGAATTGAAATCCCAGTTTATGAAGATCTTTCATGGCAAACCCATGGAACTCACACAAAACACTCACTTTCTATCTGAGGAGTTTTACATCTACTGGGATAGACAGGAAGAATCCAAAAATACTCTGTGAACCAGTAGCACCATGGGGGACAGGGCTTCCAGGAGAAGAGTTAACCTAAACTTGCCAAGATGGGCAGACTTTGAAAGGAACTCACAGAATGTTCCAGACTTAGGGAACCCTTATGAACAGAGATTGAAATTCACTTGCCACCATTGAGTATTATTCTGCATGTAGCAGAGTTCATTTTAGAATCTATGGGAGTAGTACTGTATTTCCTCCTTAATCACCTCCTCCCCAAAATGATAAGCACCTAACTCTGGGCCTTGGAAAGGTGAGTCACAATATGGGTAGGTCATCTGCATGTGTGATAAAATTGCATAAAACCAAACACATACAAATGAGTGCGTGTAAAACTGGTGCACACTGAGTAACATTGATGGATTGTATCAATGGCAGTTTCCTGATTGTGACAGTGTGCTTAGGCATGCAAGATGTTACCTCCAAGATGAAGGGTATTTGAAATCTCTGTTATTTCTTAAAACTGCATGTAAATCTTCAATTGTCTCAACATTAAAAGTTAAAAATTATGGTTATAGAGTGCTAGATCATCCATGGAAATTGCAAGTTTAAAACCTAGACCCAAGAGTGAAACCTTGAGGATAAAAACATCCTTAAGGCAAAAAGAATGACAGAATGCCACCAGGGAAGCAAAGTCAGGGAAGTGGAGAAAGACCAACAAAGAGTCATTTCTAAGAGGTCAAGGGAAGAAAGCAGGTACAGTGCTGATGAAGGTCAGCAGTGCCAAGTACTTCAAGTAGCCCAGGGAAGGTGAGAGTAAAATAAAGGAGCTGTTTCATTTCCAAAAGAAGTGTTTGGCTATGGGTTTTACCAGAGCACTTTGAACAGAGTAACTGATCTAGCCAGATAGCATGAGCCAATGACTGATGATCCATTATCACTCAACCCTGAGGCAGACCCCTCTTGTGAGGCCTTTCGTGGACAGGGGAGGGCTAGCAGGCTATATCCAGGTAAGGGCACAGGGCACAGGGGTATACTTGCAGCACTGTGGAGTCTGGAGTATGGTACAGGTCTATATGAAGAGGAGGGTAAGATGAGGATGTAAAAGGACTTGAAATCTGGTGGTCCACATTTTAGCTCCATTTGGTAGATGAGTAAACTGAAGTTAAGGGATTTTCCCAGAGGTGTGCAGTCAGAAATAATGGAGGTGGAATTTGAGCCTAAAATAAAATGATCAATTTCCTGAAACATATTATTTACTCTGAGATTTTGTTATAGAGTAGACTAAAGACTCTTGCTTTGAGGTGTGCTTGTAGTGGTTGATATGTGAAACATTTCATGTTGTCTAACCTCCATTTATTTAATCATTTGTCTTTTTAAGAGTTCCACTGTCTGTTAACTGTAATATTTTCTTTATATTTTTCCACAATGAATTCAAATCATATTTATTAAGGAATCAAAAATAACTCTTGATCCATTTCTCTTGGTATTTCCCATCTGGCAATCCATGTATCACAAGAAATTTTTTTACTTTTACCTAAAGTGATTAATTAACACTTATCCCACATGGCTAGCCCTAAAATGATTTGTCCCTTGAAGATACAGACAAGTGAAAAGGGGAAAACCTGAAAAATGCACACTTAGATTTTGATACCATTTTTGTTCTATGTATAACCCTCTTTGATTTTAATAATTATTCTCCAGAACACCTCAGAACCTTATCCAAGTGTTCCCAGTATAGTTCATTAGTACTAAAAATAATTGTGTAAATTTCTATGGCAAAGAAATTTTTAAAACACACTGCATGTTAATTAAGTGAAAAAGCAAGAAGCTTAAAAACTAATTGGCATGCACAGATACTTGCTCAGTGGGTACATCCTTTTACGAGCAAAGAGAATAACTAAAGATAACTTTTAGGTTAAATAAAACACACTCATTTTTGTCACTCAGTGTCATAATTCATCATTCATTACAAAACTATTTCTAGTCAGGTAACTTTTAGGATAATCAGTATTATATTTTAATCAATTATTATTAATGATTATTTATGAGACTGTTGCCTGCTACTTAATATACTTACTATGTTTAATAAAGATATAAGCAAGAGACACAGGAAAGTCATAATGGCAAGCACTTCTCAGGTTGCTTATCTTTAACAACTAACTGCTTGAAAGAGAAGGGAGGTGCTGCAGAAAATGAAAATTAAAGAAAAACTTAAAATACTGCTTTTATATATCTTCTAGAATTTAGGAAAATAAAGGCATTTTGTATCTAATGTTTACTAGTTTGTGGAAGTCATGAATTTATTTTTTCCTTAATGGAGTCTAGATCTTGTCTGGGTTTCAGGGAACCCACAAGCAGTGGATTTAGCTGAAGTGTCCCCAGAAAGAGTGATTGATATTTCAAAAATATTCTTTTTCCTTACTTTCCAGTACCACAGTTTGGGTTTTTAATTGTGTCACTGTGTTGTGGTTTGTGGCTTGATTAGTGTGACTCCAGGTTTTGTCCCATTGTAGAATTCAAGCACGTTCACAAAGTACACATTTATATTCACCTCAAATTGAAACTATAACCCATGTGAGTAAAAGTAGATGAAAGATGATTTCCTAATTATTATTTTCTGCCTTAGGGCTTTATCAAATTGGGCATTTACAGATAAGATTTTCATGTCTGCTCCACTGTGCCATTATTCCTTTTTTTGGGCAGGGGGGAGGTGGGACTTGAACTCAGGGCCTATACCTTGAACCACTCCACCAGCCCTTTTTTGTGATGGGTTTTTTCGAGATAGGGTCTCACAAATAAAAGCCAAGTATTTCCTAAAGCTTTAAGCTCAAATTATACATCTTAATTTATTTGAATACCAGGGAGGTGGTTAAAATTAAAGGTGTTATGTTCGCTTGTTCTTAGATTAATGCATAATGCTTTTATAAATTTGGTAGTTTGAAATTTTAGCAGTTAGAAATTTCCCTAACTACTCTCAAGCTTAAGTAGTCATTTCAATCCACACTTAAGGATTTAGTTTTTCTGCCTCTTCCTTGCACCTCATTTTACATACTGTTGTCAATCTTTGTACACATGTTAAGTACTAAGAAGTTTTGTAAATGAGTTACTCTTCGGCATTCAATCGCCAACTACATGTTTAAAGCCTTCTAAGTTCTCCAAGATATTTTAATATGACAGATTCTCTTAAATATTTAAAATGTGCTAACAACAAATTGTCACAATGACTATTAAGCAAATTACTTCCAGTGTATTTAAGCTTGATTTTTTTTTTATGGTACTGAGGTTTGAACTGAGGGCCTACACCTTGAGTCACTCTACCAGCCCTTTATTGTCATGGGTTTTTTTGAGATAGGCTCTCGTGAACTATTTTCCCAGTCTGGCTTGGAACCAAGATCCTTCTGATCTCTGCCTCCTAAGTAGGTAGGATTGTAGTTGTGGACCACTGACACCCGACTTGATTCATTTCCTTATCAGATCTACCTTCACCCCATTGAGGGGAACAAGATAGTCTCCCTGGCCTACTCTTTGACCCACAGCTGTCCCTCAACTATGGATATTGTCCTTACCAGAGTACCCAGAACCATCAATTCTTTAAGCACAGGGATGCTTTTCTTTTGCTTTTTCCTGAATCTATAGATTTTCAAATGTTCCTTTTAGAATGAGATCTTCATGTAAGTTGGTTCTTTCAGCAGTCCACTTAAATTGTCATTTTAAATTCAAATTAGAATTAGTGTCCAAGAAAATATGTGAAAAAATTCTCACAGTAAAAAAAAAAAAAAAAAATCAAACACAGATTAGAATCTGGTGTTTGTTGAGTTTTAATTTTCATTCCCTACTGTTTCTTTATGTTTCTTTCCTACTATTTCCAGAAAAGAGGAGAAGAAGTGTGGAATTGATCCCTTTGACTGCCCGAATGGTGATGGCCCACCTGGTGAACCACCTGGGCCATTACCCACTCAGTGGGGGCCCAGCCATGCTGCACAGCCTTGTCAGTGAGAATCATGACAATGCCCATGTGGAAGGCACTGAGCTGTCCTCTGAAGTGTTCAGGAGCCCAAACCTGCAGCTGTTTGTATTTAATGAGAGTACCCTCATCTCTTACCTTCAGACTCCGGCAGAAGGACCAGATGGCACATCACCAGGGGGTGCCCTCTCAGATGTGAGAGTCATCGTAAGGGATATCTCAGGGAAGTACTCTTGGGATGGTAAGGTTTTATATGGACCTTTGGAAGGCAGCTTAGCACCCAATGGAAGAAATCCCTCATTTCTAATTTCGGGTTGGCATCATCACACATTTGGACCTCAGAAGGACTTTTCTCAAATTGAGGAGGGAGATGATGTCCTTGACAAATTACTTGAAAACATTGGCCATACAAGCCCTGAATGCCTCTTACCATCCCAGGTAAATCTAAATGAGCCTTCCCCGCCCCCATGTGGAATGAACTGTGACCAAGAAAAGGAAATCATTGAGGTCATTTTGCGGCAGAGTGCACAGGAAGACGAGTACATCCAGAGGTGTAACTCTGATTCTGCAATGAAGGTCACTAGTCAAGAGAAGCCTTCACCTGTGGAGCCCCGAGGACCCTTTTATTTTTGCAGGTTGTTGCTTGATGACTTGGGAATGAATTCTTGGGACAGAAGGTACTGATACATGCTAGTCCTTCAATTATTTTATTATTTTTATGGATCATTCTTTTTTGTCAATTCAAGTTAGAGAACAAGAGAAGTAGAAATAGAGATTTTTCTTGATTTCAGCATTTACAGATTATTTGCAACTTCTAGATTAAAGCTTGAAATGAAACTAATTGTGCTATACTGATGCACAAATTGAATTCCAAACACCTGTTAGATATTTTAAAGCATATCAAGCATCTTCTGTGTGCACATATCTTATTTTGTTACTTCCCTGTCCTTTATAGTTTCTACTTTCACATAAAATGCAAATGAGTTACAAGGGTGAAATAACCTTAGGTCTGATGAGGGAGGTGGACTTGATACAACTTTAATAAAGGATAGAGTGGTATAGTAGGTAAAGAGGCAAGATTCAGGCCAAGAGCAGTGGTTTACACCTGTAATCCCAGCTATTTGAGAGGCAGAGATTGAAGGAAAAGTTAGCAAAACCCCATCTCAATAAATAAGGTGGTAGTATACACCTGTGTCCCCAGCTATGCAGGAGGCTATAGGTAGGAGGATTGAGATCTGAGTCTAGCGCCAGACAAAAATGTGAAACCCTACTTGGAAGATAACTAAAGCAAAAAAAAAACCACTCAAGTGGTAGAGTGTCTGCCCTGAGTTCAGCTGCCAAAATGAACAAAAAAAGATTAAATTCAATAGAAAATTGAAGAGATCTCATGGAAAAGAATGAATTTGAGCTAAACCTGAGAGTGGTGTTCTTTAAAGACAGAGATTCATAACAGAGCTGACAGTGAAAACAGAGACACAGGCACATGCACACAAGGGACACACTCACTAATCACAGAGCTATCCAGTGTCACTGGATAGTAATGGGATACAGTGGAATTTTTATACCTTTGTATATCTTAAGAAGAATGGAGTTCTTTCTGAAGGTTTCTAGGTTTCCATCACAAATCTTTAGTGAATGAGGTAGTAGACCTATGGATGATAGGTAGGCTTGTTAATTAACTAATTGGAAAACAGTAAAATTGGTCTGCAGTCACATGATATTTTTCTTCCATCCTTTTTTCTCTTTTTATAGGAAAAATTTTCATATTTTGAAGAAAAATTCAAAATTATTGAGAGAGCTAAAAAATCTTGACTCCCGTCAATGGTATGTGGAAGTATATTAAACCACCTTTTTTTTCTATCTTTATGTGTACCTAGGTATCAGATGCAATTGTGGGAATGAACACACTTTTAGAAGCACACAAGGGTAGTTCTGTATCCTACAATCCAGTAGCATTACTCTGTATTTTCACCCTTATGATTAACTGCTGCACTCAGAGGACAGGGCTCCCCACAATGCTTTTGACTGAGTTCCTTTCTATGGGGAAGCCAGTGGACATTTCGTTCTCATTTATTCTCACAACTACCTGTTTTTTCTAATAAGGATACAGAGGTTTACTTGTTGAAGCATCAGGTCATTTTTACCATATTATTTTAAGCCACATGAAACTGACTTCATAGCCCATGCTGTGCACCACGTACTGACATTCTATAGTAGTTGGAAAGTTTAAAACAGTGTGTTTTAATCTATTAATAAGCCTCATTTTCCAAAACTGATCACCTTCTCAAATCTATCCCTTTTCTGTATAATCTCAGAAACATTTCTAAAGATGAGCTTACAACCATGAAAAGTTTTTTATTTTGGAAAATATGTACTTCCAAAATCATCAAAGTCAAGAATAAGCTTAGTTCTCACTACATGACAGATATTGTCTTGAAAAGAATCAACTATTTCTTTACTATTCAGTTTAAATAAATAAATAAACCTCTAAAAATAGCTTCATTCCCTTAGGAATCTCCTAATATTTCATCAGCTCTCAAAAAACTCAGGATGTTTTTCTCATACTTGTTTTTTCAGTTCTTCCTACTGTATTTTATTCATTATACTTTTCATACTCCTTTACTCATAAATTTTTAATATATTTGAGCTTTATGTTTTTAACTGGTGGTGCAGAAATTAGGAGAATGAAAGGATATAGTAGAGCCCAGATTTGTCTGGTCAGGCCTTGTCTTGGTATTCGAGGAAAGTATTAGAGCTCTTTCCTTTATCCACTTAATCATTCATTCATCCACCCTCATGCTTCCATTTTAAGTCATTAGCTTCTCATGCCTAACACTTACTGATGTAACTAGGCAAATATTTTCACCATCATCTGTGTTTAGTTGTTTTCCTGTAGTTTTGGTTGTTTATTTTAGAGTTCTGATCAAAACTCAAGGTGACATATATTTAAATTTTATTTTCAGGCAAACTCTTGGTTCATGACATTATTACTCACCTATCAGGTTCACACTGTGATTCTTCTTCTTTGATGGTTTGAATTCTTGAACTGATTATAAATACAGTAACCAGTAAGATCCAGTTGGAATTTTTTTTAAATACTTGGAAGATGACTTAATTTTTCTTTTTTTGTCATGTCACGAAGGACTGAACAGATAAAGTCATATTGTGCTTATTCATACTGTGCACTTTCACCCCCTCAGAAACATCAAGAATTAAGATGCATTCATTTGTATTGACTATTGTAAAGGAATCAGAAGGACTTTTTTTTTTTGTCTAATTCACTTTCTGCCTTCCCATGTGTCTCCCTCATCATATTTATAGTTACTACCACATGGTGAGGCATCAGCTATTTCATGTTTTTTCTTAGTCTTGGGAGTGTGTCTAAGAGGGCTGTTCTGAGCCTGATACTCTCTGCAGATAGTGATATGAAGACCCTTTCTCTTAGGTGGTTGTACTTGTCTGGAGATTGATAAATATTTTAGTATAAGAAATACACAGCTGGACCTGGTGGCTTAAGCCTGTAAACCTAGCTACTCAAGAAGCAGAAATGGGAAGGATCGCAGTTCAGGGCCAGCCCAGCCTCCCTACCCCCCCAAAAAAAAAGTGTGAGACAGCCCAGGCAAGAAAAAGTTCATGAGATCCCATCTAACCAATGGTAGGCATGGTAGTAAGCACCTATTACCCCAGCCATATGGGGGTATAAATGAGAAGATGACAGTCCATCTCAAGAATAACTCAAACAAAAAGGGCTGATGCTATGGCTCAAGCTGTAGAGCAGTTGCCTAGCAAGCATTGCCAAAAAATGAAAAAGAAAAAAAAATAAATGTATAGGATTAAACAATTCATTGTAGGTGTACCTGGGAAAAGGAACCATCCTCTGACCGGATGTTTGCAACTCCATTGCCATTTTAAATGTCTTCATTTCCTGACTTATTGAGTGAAACTTAGAGTAGAAGATTTGAGTTTAAAGAATTTTTTAAAACTCATTAGAGGTAAAGAACTTCATGATGTTATTCCTCACATCACTCTCCATCTGATTCACTTTCCTGCTTGTTCTTTGATTCTTTTTCTCAAGGAGAACAGAGACTGAGTTCTCTGTGGAAATTCCATGAGGGGTTTCTTCTGAAGGACTTAGGGATTCACTTTCCTTTCCCTCTTGTCCTTCAGTATTAAACAAGCAGCCATTTGGGTCCCAATATGCTGAATTATTCCCTGCTTCTTAGTGTTAAGTGACTACATTGGTATCTTGTAATTGTGGCCAATTTGTTGAATGTTAATGTACTTTAGTTGCATGAGGTGCAATTGAATTAGCTCCCTGGGGTGCTGTTGAGATAAAATATGCCTTTGAATTTCTGATTGGCCATCTTCTGCCCCTTGATTAACCTTCACTTAAAACCCCAACTCCTGGATTTGTTGATACCAAAATGTGTATCAGTTCATTTAATGGTAAAGGGTATTTTCAAGATTCTCTTTGGAAAAAACTGAAACTAGGTCTGGGACTTTTCAGCTATAAGAAATCTAAACTGTACTATAGACTGGTCAGGTAGCAGGCAAGAAGATACCTTGTCATTCAACTTTCAGTTAGGACGTTTCTATTTATGTCTCGTATCAATTTATGTCACTGCTGTCGAGGCATAGTTTCATCTTAACATGTTTTTAGGAAAAGTAAACACTATCTTGCAGCTGTGTATGAAGGCCTTACATATTAACCAAAGTGGGCTCCCCTTTTAAAATATGAATACCTTCTTGCCACCATGTGGGAGGCGGATGTTAAAATCATGATTTTCTTTGTTTCTTTAAATGTGACAGCACATGAAAATTGAGCTGTTTTAGTCTATTCCTAATAAGAAAGAAAAATGCATCCTAATGAGGATGAGGAAATTGTTGGGTTTATGTATGTGTGTTCCTGAATTACCTGCTCCTTCATGCATTGGTTGTGCAGCTTATGTATATGAAGTGCTGTTGATGTTGTAATTACCATTTCAAAAGCCTGCCTCTAATAAGGCCAGACACAGTGTCTGCATCCTAGCAGGCTCTCTTCATACTAACATTTTGGAGGATGTGAAATTTGATGAATGTTTACAACTAAAGGTCACCTTTCCTCACACCCACAATCAGTTAGTCCTCCGTCATTGGAGCTTAGTTCTCTGTGCTCCTACACAGAGTTAATGAGTACTCAAGGACCTATGAGCAGCTATGTCGGAAAAAGCCTAGACTTGAGAATAAGCAGAGATAAACCTGAGGTTGTTTTCATGTGATGTTAGGTCTATGGGATAGAGAAAAAATAAATGCTGAGATATTTTAAATATAGAGAGCTGCAGAAAGAAATTGAGTATTTTTTCTCTCCTTTTGTTGAAACAATCTTTTAAGTAAAGGTTAGGATATCTGTTATCATATAAGCCCCTTCTAATTGCCCCTTGTTGATGTCCCCTGCCTTTCACTCAGGCAGTAAATAGTGTGGCAATTTTAAGGCTCCGTACTCCACAAGGACAAGTTTTCTGTCTGTCTGGAAGCATAAGATCTCTACTAGAGCATTTTACACACACACATCCATCATAACAAAAATCCTTCTTCCTCATAATACCTGTTCCCATCAAGAGAGATGCCCCAGAGGGTGTGCTCATGCTGCCTTGCGTGCTGGTGTCCAGGATGTCCTGCTTTCCTGGTAGCAACAGGACAGTATATATCAAAATTGCTAAAAATAGTCAAGAATCAAGAAATTCTATTTTGATGAATTTATTTTAAGGACATATTAGAAGTCCTGTGAAAAGTTTATAAAGATTATGGATTATCTTTAAGGATGTATTAAAGATAATGAGAAAGTATCTTTAAACAAAAGAAACATCCTAAATGAGGACTTGGGATATGATTTATTACATAATGAAATGTTGTATAACCATTAATAACTTTATTATAGAAGCATATGGTTTAAAAGTGTTCATACCCAAAAATAATTAGCATGGTGAATTTTATGTATATCTTACCACAATAAAATAGTGTTCACAATTATTTTAAGTGTAAAAGTTAGTTGTAAAACAGAATGTACTCATATTCATATTTCATATTTTTATACAAAAATGCATCCTAAAATGGTAACAGCTATGTTCTTTTGCTTATATGTTAAATTACAAGTGTCTTTTTATTCTTTTCTTTCCTTTCTATATTTTCTAGTTCTTCTCCAAAGTATGTTTATTATATTGAAACTATGGAAGGACATGAATAGCTTGCTAAATGATTAGAAGCAGAGAACTCTCCTCCAGTTATATATATAACTTTTTAGCTGAGCTTCAATTAGTCTTCCTTATTAAGTAGAAAAATAACCCATGCAGAAGGAAATATTAGAGAGTTTGTTAAAATATGGAGCCCAGATCTACCAATATGGATGTCTAATCAGATTACAATGTTGAGATATTAAACAATTAGACAATGGAAAACATTTCCATATTATTGAAGCACTTGATAGTTTTTCCTATGAGATTTCTCAGAATGTAATGCAAAAGTGAAGAGAAGGATGGAACTGCTCTGGAAGTAGTAATCTAATTTGTTTTTAGAGACTATAGTAAAACTCATGGATAATGGGGCTGCCAAATTACTGATTCTTGATTAAAGCTCTGCTTGAGTAAAGAACCATGTTTTCATCTTCATCACCAAATTGCTTGATAGGATTCCTGGTTTTTTGGTACTTCACAGTATAAATTACAGAAACTGCTTGTTTCATATACCTGATCAACTTAACAGAGATTTGGCTGAGCCCATTCTATGCAACAAATACTATGCTTAGATAAAAGATTTTGGGGGGAAAAAAGGCAGGGTTCCTTGCTTCAGAATACATATCATGTTTACTTGATTTAGCAAGTAAACTGCCCAAAATCCATCATGTAGCAAGCATATTAAGGGTTTATATAGCCAAAAGAGGTTCCTGGAGGGGTTTTTCTCTCTTCCAAACATCCTCAGTATAGTCAGAGCACAGGATTGCACAACCTTTGACAAAAAAAATACTCGTGTATCCTGCTTAGAAGAAATTTCTATTTCTCGTTAAGTCTTGACCTATCTTAGAGTTTCAATCAAGGAGCTACTCAATGTCCTTATCTAAAAGTGTAAAAAGTGGCATGTAGGTAGAGACCAACTTGCAATTGATATGTATTTGAAATTCTTTACAAGATGATGCTGTTTACCAAAAATGGAGAGAACTTGCCAAATGGTGTGCTCTAACATTCTGTTGTTCATTGTATTTCATTTCTAAGTGTGTGATCTCAGGAACCAGACTACCTTACTCTGGGTTCGAGGGTCCTGCTTGCTATGTGGGCTTCATGTTTAATTTTCTATACCTGCTTTCAACTGTCTCTGCAAGACAGTTTAATGTGTCTCATTAAAGCAGTTGCAATGAGGTGGTGTGTCAAACCATCTTAGAAGAATGACTGATCTTAGGAAGTTCCAGTAAATGTGAGTGTAATAGTAGGAGCCATGCTGGTGGTAGCAGTAAAATAAGACTTTATATACAAGATTTCTAACTCATTTTAATTTTAAATTTTATAGCCGTGAGACACACAAAATTGCAGTATTTTACATTGCTGAAGGTCAAGAAGACAAGTGTTCAATCCTCTCCAATGAAAGAGGAAGCCAAGCATATGAAGACTTTGTTGCTGGTCTTGGATGGGAGGTAATTAATTTTATCAGTAGGTATTTATTGACCAGTACTATTTTAAAATGTGTATAGAAAATAGACATTGGTTATGTTTTTACATTTAATAATAAAATGAGTAAAGTTCGTGAATTGAAGAATATATTGAAATGTATTAATTGCCTTTCAGTATTTTACATATGAACCTTTGCTCCCTGTAATATTTTTAAATTTTTTTGTATTAGTACTGAATAGTCAGATTAACCATAGATAGTTTGTAGCAAGAAAAGACAATATGGGCAGAGAAGTAATACCTTTGTAGATTGGAGAAGAAATCTATAACATGGGTGAAAAGATGAAGAGTTGGATAAAGTCAAAAGTTGAAATTAGAATATAGTAGCCATGATGGTTTAGCTGTCAACACATTTCTCTAATGTACGTCCCCAAGATTACTGATATTTAAAATTTGGGGGGTTTTGTCTTTACTAAATGACAGACTAATATTCAGACATACAAACACATAGACACAAATCTACCTCCCAGGAATATAAGTGTAAAGGTAAATATATCCCTAGAATCTGAAAAGAATTCAAAGTAGTCAAAATGGAAATCAAAATACCTAAAATAATTTTCTCATTTTTTTATTACTTCTGTTTTGGTTTCTCAGTTGTCTGTGCTAAAGAAAAACTCTCTGATTACATAAGCACAACTTGCCTCAGAGAGTTCAGCATTAGTAAGGGTTTAGAGATGGAAACAGAGCAAGTGTACATCAAGTCAAGACCATATACTTTCAAAAAATTTCAAGTATGTTTTAGTCTAAGAGCTTTGCACATCCAATAAATTACTGTTTTTGCTAATAAGGTGACTTTTGTCATTGAATATATTTATTATTTAACAAATATATTTTTAAACTATACGTTCGCAACTAGAGTTTTAAGAAAATACTAATTAATTCAGAGTATATGTTGATTGTATCTGGCACATAGAGATTTTTCTTTATTTCATATGTGTTAAAATAGGTACTTTATTGAAAGAAAAGCTGCTCGTGACAAGTTTAAAAATTTAGATTTAGTCACTGACTAAGAAAAATATTTATGCCATAACTTTAAAATGAATTGTGACTCAGACTTTGGGCAATGGTGTAAACTATAACAACCCTTTTAAAGGCAGTTTAGCAAAGGCCATTAAATTCTATAACATCTGTACCCCTTCAGCCGACATCTTAGGGAAACACCCATTGAGTGTTCTGATTTGAGAAAACAGAAAATACCACAAATCCATCAGTGGGGAAACTGGCTATATGTTTGTGTATATATACATACATACATACATACATAGTGCAAGAGTAGTAATACTGGCAATTTAGAATGCAAAAAAGACACCATAAAATGCTTCCTTTAAAAAAGTGAAGGTACAATAAGATATTTTGAGAGCCACATTCACATAACTTGTATTATAGTATACTATTATCATTGTTCTACTTCATTAGTTGTACCTAATTTATAAGTCAAACTCTATCAAAGGATTATATGTATAGGAAAAAACATACTATATATAGGGTTTGATACTATTTGTGGTTTCTAGTATCCACTGAAGCTCTTGGGTCATGTCCCCCACAGATAAAGGGGAGGGGGGGCTGCTATACATACACACATATATGTACATATATTTATACACATACAAATATATATACACATACATATGAGAGATAAGTTAGAGAAATACACACCAAAATTTGGGGGAGTTGCTGTTTGTTTACAGTGCTCCCTAGCAAACCGGGTCCTTGCACATGCTAGGCAAGCAATTTACCACTAAGCTACAACCCCAGCCCTTAAATTTTTGATAATGGGTTTTCTTCAGTTAGTAGAATTACAGAGCAATTTCTTCTTTTCTTTAACTTTCAATCTTATCTCAGTTTGTATTGTATTTGTTTGTAATCAGAAAGAAAAATATTGAAATGAAAAGCATTACCTTTTTTAAATCTACATTGTTGGTAATAAATAAAAACAGTTCTCTTTTGACCCTCACTCTTTTTCCTTATATGACCTTCATCAGGTGGATCTCTCAACCCACTGTGGGTTTATGGGTGGCCTTCAGCGCAATGGCAGCACAGGGCAGACTGCCCCTTATTATGCTACCTCGACTGTGGAAGTGATTTTCCATGTTTCTACACGGATGCCATCAGACTCAGATGATTCACTCACCAAAAAAGTAAGTTGCCTCCTTGGGGATGGTACTTAACTATCCTGGTGCATAAGTGAGGCTTAGTAGAACTGGATAAAGACTAGGCCCTGACTTGCTTTTCTTGGACTACATCATTGTAGCTCTTCCTCAGGCTATAGTTGTGATGAATCTAAAATACCATCTTGGCACAAACTTAAGTCCTGAGATTAAGGATTGGGGAAAAAGAAGGGCCTTAAATATTGTTACTCTTGGATCTTTCCCCCATATTAATATTACCTGACAGAAGAATAACACTTTTATTCATAGACTGGCAAAGGTTACTACACATAATGGCCTTTATCATAGAGCTCTCAGAAAACAGCTCCTCCCTGACTTGCTGGCAGTGTATGCCAAAATTACAAGTGCACATGTGTTACTACCCAACTGTCCCATCTTTGCTGCTCACCTTTTGTTCATTAGTTTTGGTCCTATGCACAGTTTTCCCTGGAATTCCATCAGGGAAAGATGACCCTGAACTTCCCAGCCTGTAGGGTGTTCATCTCAGGTAACCCTGTGTTCAGAGCGAGAAGCACCTTAATAAAAGAGGTAACGAAGCCACTCCTGTAAGTTTCCAGATGAAATGAGAGTCCCAGAGCAACTGTTATTTGTACTCATCTGGCTGGCTAGCACAGCAGGTGATGGAGCCTGCAATCCCAACCTCATCCCCACACTCCTATAACACAGATGCAAGGAACCAAGAGCAGCAACTTGGGTGCTGACTGAGGAGGGCTCTTTGGGCAGTGGGATGATGTGATTAAGGCCAGGCCCCAGAGACAGGAGGACCTGGCCTGAAGTGTGTGTCCAGTTATTTCATCAGGTCATGTCACAGTGTTGTTGAGTGAAGTAAATGAGATAATGCCTGCAAAATTGCTTAGCATTGTGCCTGGTAAGATCTCTTTATCAGCCCTTGTCAGTGTCCGTTGCTCTAATTGATTCTTTTTTTCCTTTGCCCCATTAGCCAGATAATTAATATTAGCTCATAGATATCATTATACCTGCTTCATTTCTTTTCTCTGTTGTTTTGTTTTTTCACTTCTATAGCCATATACATCTGGACTGTGCACATGGTGGGCAACAGTGTATGCAGGATATCAAAACTCAGGTCACAGCCCTATCACAGACAACTTTCATAGCAATCAAGTGTCAGATATACGAAGATAATTTGCATTCAGAAACTCAGCAGCTTCAGTCTTCCATACATGTAGCTCTGCATGCCACATTGGAGTCCCTGACAATGGGAACCCCACAGTGAGAGGTGCTAGTTACATACTGGTTCCTGTAGGGGTTGGAGGAGCTGCCTCTCCATCTTAGGTTCTGTTCTGATAGCTGCCCCTGGCTGCAGAGCACTTCAAGAGGAAGACTGTGCTGTCTTAAAGCCTAGTGTATCTTACCAAGACCCCAAGCTGGGCTCACATTTTCTTAAAATTTTGAAGTACCTTGTAAATTGTTGTTACTCTGAAAATGTGTCATCATACTCTATGATTTTCTTATGACAGAAACTTTTCGTTAAAAGACAGATTTGCATATAAAATATTTTTAAGTAAAGAGCATTGGTTTTGGTTTTTGTTTTTAACTTTTCTTGACAAAATGCCATGATCAATGTTGCAAGGCCTGGCCTGTTTGAAAGATTCCCCACTGTAATAATAAAAATTCAGCAGATACCTTTTGGAGCTCTGAGATTTAGCATTATTAGCAATAAATTCTCTTTATTTTAGCTAGACTAAAAATCAGTCACAGTAACAGCAGCCTACAGTTCTGTGTCTTATTCTGACTAAATTGTCCTTAACAGCTTAAAAATGAGCTGCAAAATTCTAAAGTGATTCATGCTCTTTTCTGCCCTTGTCATGGGGGGACTTTTTCAATTCTGCAATCTGGTTGCAACCCCATACTGAACTCTTGATCCTTCACTGCAGAAATTTGTTAGCTCTAGCTAGATTAGATTTTTCACAGCTAATCTAACTGCTGTAGGGGTTTGCAGAGTGGGGACAGAGCTGTGCTATTGGATTTGTCCAATTCATTTGACTCCAGGACTATAATTGCACTTATGTCTTACAAGGCTTTTATAGCCTCAGGCTGGCCAGCCGCATAAAAAACAAATTGGCAGTGATACAGTACAAGTGAAAAGGGATGAAAGGCCCACATTATCAGTCTCCAGGCAGCGCTGTTCTGGCAGGAAGTTTCTTGGTTAATTTACAAATAAAACTTAGATTTTAGGATGGGCACACTGTCAGCTGAACAATGGGGATGTCAGGCCTGACTATTACTTAGTAAAAGTAGCAGCCGGGCCCACTGAGGAGCAGGAATTCTTCAATCAAACAGACGACTCCTTCTGGAGCCAGCTGGCGATGTAATGCAATTAGTCAGAAAAGGAGGTCAGCCTATTAGGTGTGGACCGTGACCAGTGTCACTAGTGGCGTGCAGCCTGGCAGCAGCAGGCAAAATAGCATGGGCAGAGGGACTTTAGAACTCTCTCAGGACCAGAAGTGGCAGGACATGAGGTTGATTTCTTGAGACTGAAGAACTGGCATTTTTTTCCTGAACCTGATGTGCTTCCAGGCCTTCTGGAGCTTGTTGCACAGTGGAAGCAGGAGCTGACATGAATGCCAGCTCCATTCCAGTGTGAGACTCACCATTCTCCTTAGAGCCACATGCCTCAGATCAGCTTGACTTGTATACCCTGAACAAACTCGCCAGTAGGTTCTAATTTGAGGGCTCCGCATCAGAGTTCTTCATTGCTTACAAAGTGACATCTCTATATTGAAATCCCTTTAGAATAAGCACCACTTTAGGTTTCCAGAGAATTCAGACATGGTGGGCAGATTATCCAGATCAATTTTATTGGTTTTCCCTACTTGTGTTCTTGGAATAGGCAGAAAAGAGTGTAAATTTTGTTCTTTGCTTCAGACGTACCAGTAAATTGGGACCTGTGCCCTTAATTCTTAGTTTTGCAATTTACCTAACTCTAACATGTCTAAAAGCCTGAAGTGCATGACACTGAAAGCAGCTCTGAGATGATGAATACTGTACTGTTGCCACACAAAAATAGCTCCCCCTTAATTACAGAACCACCATATTGGGAGGAAGGGTCTATTAGTGTAATACTTTTCTGTCATGCTAGTGTTCTGAGAACAGTTGCAAAAAATTAGGAGAGATTTACATGGGTTATTTAATTGAGTAACCCAATTTAGAAAGGGAAAGGTAACTTCGAACTTTCAGCAGCCACTATACAACCACATCTGACACTTACGGATCAAAAGGAGTTATCATGAGTGTTAGGTGCTGGTGTCAGGTGGTAGTAGCACATTTGAGGGGTGTTTGGTAAGTGGGTTGGTTATTCCTATTTGGATGTTGGTGCCAGCAATTATAACAAGAGGCTGGAAACCACCCCAAGGTTTTCTCTCTTTTGGGATGAGGGCTGAGCTCTAGGGCAGCCCCAGTTCTGTCACCTCCTCCTGGTCCAAATTCCTTCTAGAATTTCCGTTAAATATTGTCCTCATTGCCCTTGATAATCTGCCTGTCTTATATTGTTGGCGATACTGGCTATGGTATTTTCACTGTAAAAGGACTGAATTGCAGGAGTGTTTTGTAAGGTTCTTGCACATTTAATTAAAGAAGACGAAGGAAAGGGGCAGGAAGAAAGAAAGTAAAGCTGTAATACCTAATATGGGAATAGGGTAGGGTGTACCCCAGGAATAGAACACTTGCCTAGCATATGCAAAGTCTTGGGTGTTATCCACAGTTTTGAAAAGAAAAAAAGAAATGGGAATATAGGAAAGTGTTTAGGACTACTGTGAAAACCTAGTGTCATATTTTTAAAAACTATTTGTGTATTTTTTTTGGCTTTTTATTTTTTTTATTTATTTTATTATTTTTTTTAATTTTATTTTATTCATATGTGCATACATTGTTTGGGTCATTTCTCCCCCCTTCCCCCCTTACCCCTCGCTACCAGGCAGAAGCTATTCTGCCCTTATCTCTAATTTTGTTGAAGAGAGAATATAAGCAGTAATAGGAAGGACCAAGGGTTTTGCTAGTTGAGATAAGAATAGCTATACAGGGAGTTGACATGCATTGATTTCCTGTACATGTGTGTTGCCTTTTAAGTTAATTCTTCTCGAACTAACCTTTTCTCTAGTTCCTGCTCCCCTTCTCCTGTTGGCCTCAGTTGCTTTAAAGTATCTGCTTTAGTTTTTCTGAGTTGAGGGCCACAAATGCTATCTAGTTGTTGGGTGTCTTAACCTCATACCTTCCTTGTGTGTTCTCCCTTTATCATGTGATCAAAGTCCAATCCCCTTGTTGTGTTTGCTCTTGATCTAATGTCCGCATATGAGGGAGAACATACAATTTTTGGTCTTTTTTGCGAATTATTTGTGTATTTGATTGACTCCGCCTTTTGCCTGCTACCCTGTTCTACCCTTTTAGCTTTTATATTTTTGTGAGGATGGTGAGGGAGAAGAGAAAAAAAGATGTACTGGGTAATTTTTGCATTTAGAAAGTTGTCAGCTCCATTAAATTATTCTGGATCATTGTGACTTGTGCTCAGCCCCCACAGTTACACTTGTCCAAGAGCCCATATTCAGACACAATTGAATTGTGCACTCTCAATATATGTACAAATGTTCAGGTGCAAGCATCTTTTTAAAGGACTAACTTGTACAGTCATTCCCAGAAGTATGAGAGAGTGAAGAATAAGGAGGCATTGCAGCAAACAACTTCCTTTGTAACCTTATAAATAGAAAAGAGACCATGTTGGAGTCACCTAGGATTTTCCATTTGTGGTCAGATAGTTTATAATGAAAATAGTATTTAATGTTATGTGTTTTAAATACAAAATATTGCATCATTTTTTTATTTTTTAAGACAAAATTAAAACATCAGATTTGACACAGTATCTCTATCAAAGTGCTTTTAAATTTGGTCACTTTTAGTGTTCATCTGTTAATAAACAAAGAAACAGGAAACATCCATGGTGATAGATAACATCTTTCTGCTGCTGGTTGTAAAAGACAGAAGCCTCACATTCCCAGGAGGCATCAGCATTTCAATTTTTACGTTCTATTTCATTGAATCATGCTTTTAAGCTTTCTCAAATGATTATCATGTGCAGCTTTCTCCAGCTTGGGACAGTGAAGTTGTCATGTAGGAGGTTTATCAAGGATATTTTTAAATCTGACAGAGGTTGGCCCTGGAAGAACTCTCAAAGTGTCCTTCCCAGGAGACCTTCCTGCTAAGCCTCTTCAAAAAGACCAGGAGTCTGATTTATTTTTGGACTTTGCGGCCTCCTCGTGTATACAATGATTAAAAAAAAAAAAAGTAGGGTAAAATATTTGAGCTATCAGAATATAGTAGCTTTGATACTGTCTTAGATAGCTGTGGAATAATACTGATGGCATTGAACCAGAGCCCATCCAGGTTCCTGGCTTACCACGCTGTTTAAGCAGGCTAGGATAGGCAGAGCCTTCACCTTCCTGAGCACCTGTTTCTTCATTGTAAGATAAGATAAAAATAGTGTATGATATCTCAGAGAGTTAGTGGGAAGATTAAACAAGACAATATGTGAAAACATATTGTTGCTCTTTAAATTCCTTCCAAATTAAGTATTTATTAATTTCCTAAACAGATATAATTTATACATCCTTTTTCTTAAACATTTATCTCAAGACTAGTTTCAGATACAGTTGTTAACAATTGTGTTATAATGTTCTATGTTCTCTTATATTCTTATTTTCTTAATAACCAATTAAGAGGCTTAAAGTTTTTTATGGCATAAAAAAACTCATGTCATTAGTTGTTCAGAAACATGCTCAGCAATATAAACCATACAACTCTAATGCAGAAGTAAAATACATAAATTTAAAAAATGTCTTTGAACAGGTCTTGGCCGTATCTAGCCAAAATATCCCCTCAATATTTGGATATGTGATCTTAGCACCAAATGTGTTTCATAGAAGAGAAGCTGTATTTTTATGGAATTGTGATTTTTAAAATCCTTATAGAAGGTATCAGTGTTGTAGCTCATTTTTGTAGTAAAATATTTTTGCCTCTGAGTTTTATGATTCAATTTGTAAGCCATGACCCCCCATAAACTGCTGTTATCACCTTGATTAATAAAGAGCCAATTTGCTGTTGCAGCTCCGTCACTTGGGGAATGATGAAGTCCACATCGTCTGGTCTGAACACTCCAGGGACTACCGCAGGGGTATTATCCCAACTGCTTTTGGAGACGTTTCAATCATTATTTACCCAATGAAGAATCACATGTTCTTTATCACGATAACAAAGAAACCTGAGGTATGTTTCTTCACATTATTGCCCTGATTTATATAGCATTTGCTGCCTGATTCACTGTCATTAAAAACAGTAATATGATTATGTTAAAGGGAACTCTTTTCTAACTGATAAATGTCTTTTATATATCTGAATTATATGTGCTATTATATAGGAATTCAATGTGAACCAGAATTTTCAAATAAATCTTTAATCATGAACATAAAATTCCATATTGTATTACTTGACTTCTTTGAAACTGATAGAGTTTCAAGAAATTCATGAGTTTTTAATATTTTAGGTTTTAAAATATAATTTTTAATGTTAAATTTTTAATTTGGGACCCATTGATTAATAATAAGAATTGAAGGTACCCAATTATCACACCTAACAGTTTGGTGGTAACTGTGAGTATAGAATCTAACCTTGTCTGATAGATGGGCATTGCCCACTCAGGTTGATCCTGAAGGATTTGGGGTATGTCTACAAAAAGACTAGACTTAAAGTATAGCCCACATGCTAACAATCAAAGCACCTTGCCACAGAATCAATTCAGTCATATCAATTAGTATTGATCATGGAACTAGCTGGAACAAATCCAATGATCTATGTCCTTTGTACTATAATTGTCTTCCATTTTGGACTTTGTCATGCCTTTAGTGGTATCTTAACAGTGCCTTATATAGTGACTTATTTTCATTGTGGGTTTATTAAGAAGAGGTTTTTGTTTTGGGTTTTTTTTTTTAGTTTTTAAGTAAACATTTAGCATATTAAGCCACTCCTCAAGAAAAAAAATGACTTCATGTTTTTCAGCTTGATACTAAATATAATCTTCATTTTCATTCCAAATTGTTCTCCTAAAGGAATTGAACATTGCCATTCTAAAATTTAAAAGATTGATTGTTCAAATTGGGATGTATAGCCTAAAGTTATACATAAGGATTACATGATCTGATAAGTGGAAAGTGTTTCAAACATTGCCTGGCCCAGAGTGAAAGCTTCTTCGATCTTAGTTGTTGCCATCATCATCATTGCTATTTATATTTTTTCTATAGTTACTATAATAGAAATAAAATCAATAATGAATTCCAAGTTTAATGTACATATTCATTCTCAAACTAGATAAATGTGAGTCAACTTCTGAATCCAGGAAATCCACTGTGACTGGTTCAAGGTCTGACATAAAAGGAACCCTCTTTTCTATTCATAGGATGAAAATGCCAAAGGTTTATATTAAATATTTGAATTGTCTCTGATTCAGACCTCTGTGTATGTGAAGTTTTCAATTTTGTACTATAAGAAGATGGCTTAGTGCTAATATTCCTATTTGTTCATGAAGAGTACTACTTTAATTTTAAGAATTAAATTGAAAATTTTAGTATTAGAGAACCAATAAATTTCATATCTTTGAGCTTTCAAAACTAGAAAATATTTAGCATGGATTAACTAGCTTCATTAGTTCATTTTTAGTATGGCCCTCTAAAATGTCATTTGATGTCCTAAAAGTGTCATATTTATTTTTGAAGTTAATAAAGAACATGAAAAGCCTTTCAGTTCATTTTATAGTGTCAAAAGTGGTATTTTTAAAAGTAGCATAAAATTTATAAAAGCATCATTAATATACCTTTTAAATTTTCCTCCAAAATGTGTGTAAGTTTTACAAATTTGGTCATAAATTCTGACAAGAAGATTTGAACAAATTGCTTTCTTAATATTTTAATTTGAAAAGCCTTAAGGAAGACGAGAATAATGGGCAAGTAGAAATTTAGTGTTATCCCTACATTTAAAGTACAAACGATTACAATGTAATAAAATTAATCCAGACATTTCCAGGGCAAGTGTGGCTGACCTTTTGTTCACCAACCACTGACCCCAGGGTGAATGCAAGAGGCTTTCGGGAGGAACTTCTGTTTGTTTGGCTTCAGTCCCTGGTATTTAAATTGCATTCCCTAATCAAATGAAAAGGCTGTCCTCTCTATCAGGTTACAGAATCCATGGCAACATTTGGCCTTTTATATCCATAATGTTAGCCTTTTTGTTTGCATCTAAGTAGAGACACCTGGAGCAATGTTAACATTAACCGATTTAGCATTAATAGCTTCATTATATAAGAATTTCTGATCAGATAGCTGTTACTTTTGTTATATTGCTTCAGCTTGTATTGTTGTCATTTTTTATCTCCCTGCCTGGCAACCAGGCAATGATTTGCAAATTTTTTTTGTCTTGATTAATTAAGCAATATAATTATCAGTAACCATGATGCAGTCTTTGCTCAACAAAGCTTCTGAGAGAAAACAATGGTAAGTCTGTTAGTATGAATGCATTCCACGCGTCCCAGATGCATGAGGATATTATGGACAATGAGGGGAAAGGCCGCCTGTGAGCGAGGACAAAGGGTGCCACGCAGACTCGACACACTGCACATACCGCCAGGGACATGCTGCGGGCTCCCTGGGACACAGACGCCTCGTTAGATTACTGCTAGTCAGCAGAGATTAATTCTCAGCCATTTGGTGCAATAATTTACCCATTCCCCAGTCTTTTAACTAATGCTCCTTACTATGGAAGAGAAGGCTTTGTACTCAAAAGGTTTATTTAACCTTGCCTACTTTTAGGGACCCTCTCCACTAAAATCGTTATTTTTTTGCTTAGAGGGTGCAATAACGCAGCTGCTTTAAACTTAGGAATAGTCCTGCTAGGAGAACAGAATATGCATAAGTTTGAGAAATTGTAGGTAGAATCAAAGGCATTCTTTTAGCACCTGTATGTTTCATCTGAATACAGTATGACTGTGTGGTCTAAACACATTTATTTTACTGATCTCTGGGCAGTCATACTTCTCTAAGAATAATTTTAATCCTTTTTTAGGAGGGAAAAAAAACCCTCATCAGTACACAAAAGTCCTTCTCATTGGATAAAGTCATGCATATTCAAATTGTACTTTCATTCACTTGGCCTCATTAATAGCGTATGTAATAATGTAGGGCTATTTGTAATACAGGCTCACAGGCAGCATTGCTTCCAAGTCCTTTGAAATAACATATTTTGCTTTTTTCATTCCCATACACCTCCCTTAAATATACAAATTATGTGCCTGGCAGAATCCGCCTCCTCTTAATAATACACAGCTCTTGTGAAATGGTATGTTGAAGAAGTGTGGGTGTGCTTGTGCAAGTGCATAAAACCCTCATGGTTGAGAGGGTCTGCTTACTTCTTGAGCATTGTATTGAGCTTTTTTTTCATTAAATTAAAAAAAAAAACTATACTTCATAGCATTATTTCATTGTTAATTTTCCTTGAAAATAAGTCCATCTCCATAAATATTGACACAATAGTCCTTTAGCCATAGAAAAAAAATGTGTTCTTGTCAGACTTGTGTTTTTTCCTATTTTTATCACCATGTCAGCTATCCAGGAAAGATTTGTATGTAAGGCAAAATGTCAATTAGTTATGGAGTTTGTGAAAAATGCCCTGTTTTTTTTCTTCAGCAAGGTGATTCATAAAGCCTCCACAGTATGGTGAGTTCCCATATTGCTTTTCATCTTTCAATGACTGGAAAGTAATTGGTGTTCATAGTGTTTGTTACGAGTTTTTGAAGGTCAGTTTTAATGCTTGGGGAATATTTTTCTCCAAGCACATTAGTGACTGGTGACCAAAGCAGCCTTGAACAGGAATAGTTAAAACAAAAGGAAGTTTTGGTAAGGGTATTCCTCAGTACCTTAGAATGAAAAACATGTTAGTATGCTCTAAACTCCATTTACTCTGTGTGGCCAGGGAAGAAAAACTGATAAGAAGTATTAAGAGAAGGGAACATGGAACCCTAATGGTCCAGTTCCAAGAGTGCCACAGTTGTGGGAGGTATCTTAGGCAGTTCTCAATTTGTTTGGACCTTAGTTTCCTCAGCTGTAAAACTCAGGCTGGGCAGCTGAGTTGCTGCTGTTGGGCCTTCTCTCCTGCGTGTCCACACCTTTCCTTAAGTTGCCCTGACTGTCACTAAGGTGCTGTCAGAGAATAGCTGGCATTCTTGCAGCTTCAGCAATGTGTGTGTGTGTGTGTGTGTATGTGAGAGAGTGAGAATGTACACACATACACACACATGTGGGCATGTATCCCTTTTCAGGATGACACCTAGCCAAGGACCTCTGTTTGAAAAGTGCTCAAAAATGCTAGCAAAAAGCCGATATGCCAGCAGTCACAAGAGCATTTGCACAGATGAGGCTAAGAGGAGCCCAATATTGGTACCTGTGTTTGAAAGGAAATGTTTTTAAGCTTACTAGAGTGGCCTTATTACATAGGGAATGTAAAATGTATGGTTTTCTTAAACATTTATCCTAATCTCAGCCAACCAGCGATTAAATCATGCACTTTGAAATAGTCTGAGAAATTCTCAAAGAACTAAGTTAACTTTGGGATATACAAAGAATCATTTATTTAAAAAATAAATCATTGAAAAGACCAGAATTTACTAAAAGTAACTTATTAAATGAATTATTGTGATATATTCTGCTTGAATAATTTATTAACATTATTAGCACTGATTTTAGTAAAGGAATGGCATAGAAGACTGTGTGAAAAGGAATGTCATTTGCAGATGTTACGTTAAAATCAAATTTCTTCTCTAATTCATTGCCATTTCTAATTAGAGGAATTCCCTGGATATGAGGAATTTATATTATCTCTTTTGTCCAGTTTTTGAAACAATGAGACACCCACAAGAAGTTGCCAAAGTGTAATAAAGAACATTTATTTCTATGTTAACCCTTATTACACATGGAAGAAAATCTGTAGCCTAACTGCTGTTAATTAACTCCTAGTTCCTGTTTTATCTTTCACAGCAATTTAGCTATTGAGAAATTCCTTCTTAATTGATTTTCCTTGAAGATAGACATCATTTCCCATTTCTTGCTTGGTCTTTAACATATACATCTTCCTCTCATTTAGTCTATCTTCTCTCCTTTAACCAACCAGAGGCAACTTGTGTAAATGTTGCCACATGGCAAATAGTAACTCCAGCTTTGTGTCAG